CGAGCACATCCAGGTCGGAGTCGCCATCCCAATCCTGGGCCCAAGGATGAGAGCGAACATGGCGGGGAACATGGAAGTGTGCGAAACAGGCAAAACATGCCTGGAGGGGGCCTGAAAAGGAGCCCCCAAAAAGTCCGACACAAGTACCGCTTGGCCTTTACAAAAATGCCCGCCATGTGCAAGCCATTGAAGAACTTGAGATGGATTGGGGCGGACGTGAAAACATGGGTTAGCGTGTGCCCAGAATCGACGACCTGAAGCGATGTCCTGTTCCAGTCTCCGCGGCCGTAGGCATCCCCGACAAAGTCGAAGGGACTCTGCTCCGCTGGCATGAGAGCTTCCTCCATTCCTCAAAAAAAAGAATACAATTTTTTTAAGTCCAAAGAAGCTTCAACCTGCAATTGTCTGCTGCAACACACAAGGACGCGTTCACCCGTCAACCTCCCCAGAGCCCCTTGGGCACTGCCTGAATATGTGTAGCATTTCTTCTTCCGACGCGGCAAAGGAGTGCTTTGCATAGCGTGTCAGGTGCATGACTGTGCATGCGGCTTCGTGATGAAGCGGAGGCTACCCCTGTACTGCACCCGGCGCGAGCGCCCCATGAGCAGTGCAGAAGACAGCAGAATACTAGCAAAACCTGTACAGTTCTATCAACTGATGAGTCCAACACTTGAAGTGACACTCTACGGAGAGAGAGAGGCCTCTATCAGCGTGCAGAAGAAAACATATGATTGCTTGTCTAATTCGGCTCTCTGTTTGATTGTAACGTTCACAGCTGAAGCACCATCGTCGTGCAACCACGCTACACCTTCAGGTGACAGCGTCAGAGCACGATAGTGTCCGGAGGCATTGGATGCTCCTTGATGCAACAAGATCGCTCGAACCTGATATCTGGCCAGGGAGGTCTGAAGACTGTCTGGTTGCAGGAAGTGGGGCAAGGAGACAGTGCAGCCAGCGCTTACGGGTTGTGAATTCTTATGCTGCGGGAAAGCAGGGTCCCAGAACCGATTGATCTGTAGCATCAAGACTTCTGGCAGCTCACACAGCGCATGCGGATGGGCCTGAGAAGCCCAGGCATCTACAAGCGTCTGCAGGGTGCAACGGCGGGCATCTGCAGCAGAGGGTGATGCAGTGGCTGCAGAGGCAGCCACTCCTGAGGTCGAGACTGCTCCAAGTGGAGCGTCGATGAAGAGGGGACTGACGTGTCCTCCGTCAAGCACTTGAAGAGTATGTTCCATGCGTCTGGCTTGCCAGCTGCCAGTGAAGCAGCCGGCAGCCAGCAGGTCACCGTCCTTCATATGCAGAAGTAGTTCTGCAACGTCATGTTGCTCAAGTGGCCTGGGCCAGCCATGAAGCAATTGCTGAAAACCCAAGGTGCGCCAAACATGGACTTCTTTCTGAGTAGCCAGCCATTTCAAGATTTTCTGAAAGTCTGGCCTTACAAAATCGGCTGCAGGTGGGCAGAGAGATTGCAAGTGCAAAAGGGCATGTAGGCAACTGTTTATGTAACAGAAATTGGCTGTATTAAGGAGTTTCAGCTTCCGACTGACGGCAGGCTTCACAGACGATCCACAGCTTTCACCAACGAAGAGACCAGACCGTCTCTGCCTAGGCGTTCGTGGCGAAGGGTGGCTGAGATCAAGTGAAAGGCGCCGCTGTGACACCATTTGTCCAGGCAGTCGAAGACCTGATGGGCAACTTGGCTGCGAAGTCCGATCTCCAAGTGCATCGGCAGGACGTCCCCACTCAGGTCTTCCGTAAGCTTCCTCATGGCGTGAAAACGGTTGACGACCCGAGGATGGGCCAGATTGGCTTGCATGGTGGCAATGTCCCTCCTCAGTTCGGTCAGGGCAAGAGGCTCCCTGTCCTTCTTCACAAGGTACTGCCTGGTCTGCGAGTCCCATTGCATATAGTTGAATGCCAACACGTGATCCTCCCGGTCCTGAAGCAAGTGCAAGCTCCTGGCTTGCACCCGGGCATCCTCCTTCTCTTGCAGTGCCTGGAGTCGTAGATCCAGCGAGCGCAGAAGGCAGGAGAATAAGGTGTTGCGAAGCGGCATCGTGATGTCCTGTGGAGTTTGTTCTTTCTGTTCGTGCCACCGATTCCCCATTGCCCATAGATCCTTCGTAATCGACATTGCTCCTTGCGTCTTGAGGAACAAGACATAGGTCGTGTCTAACTTCAGGATGCTCAGCTGGTCGGCCTGGCGTACGCTGAGCCTGGCCATCATCTTCACTACTTCCAACTGAGCATCGCTGCTGCTTGAGTCCTCCAAGAAACTGGCGGAGGTTCGTCTGTCCTGTGGATATGACGGGCCCTTCCCTTTGGGTCGGAAGGCCTTGCGGATGACATGTGGGCTTTCGTCGTTGCGATCTCGTTGTCTCCGCAGACCGGTTCCCTGCGAAGGGGGAATTGCGGCTCCCGGCGCTGGCATCATCGAGTTGAACAACGCAAGCTCCTGCTGTCCTCGGATTAGCTCGTCCCGGCCGACGTCCTCCATGCTGTGAAGCCTGAAGGGTGTGTCGCAGTCTGTTGTGGTGATTCAAGAGAGCCGAGGCAGTGGCTACGCCCGGAGAGAGGCGCTCGGCTGAAGGCGAACAAACAGCGGTGTTGATTGCTGGTGTTTACTTCAAGAGTCAGCAGCTCAGGCGGGTCAAGCCAAGTTCGCAGCTGCTTCTGGCAAAGGCTCCTGGGCCGCAGACGCTGCCGTGATTGGCAAGTCTGACTGGCAAGGCATGTGCCGAGACAGGAACGTGCAAGCTGCGAGGCACGGGGCCAACGGGGAGTGGTTTCGGCTTCCGTCCAGAAACCTTGCTGCAGGGGGGGGCTCGGTCGGGCCGGCAACTCGCTTTGGAGGTCCTTACAGTTGCATACCCCTTACTCAAAACAGCTCTCCTGCACCTGCCAACGCCCCTCTTGGAGGCTATGCTGGAGGGCAACTCTAAAGAGAACCGGACAACCCACCGCGGCCTTGTGATGACTAGTAGAGCAAAAGCGGCAAGGCTTGGTAATACCTTTACACTCAAGAAGGAACTGCTGAATGAGAGAAATGGCGGTGGAAAAGTCATTGTGCTGGGCTTGCATGTGCTTCACCAGTTGGCCAGTTTGCGCCATCCAAAGATTGCATAGCGGACAGTGCAGGAGCCTGCCAAACTTTTGGACTTCTGCAGCGAGCTCTTGCCAGGTGTAAGTCGCGGCCAAAGAAAGCAGTTCAGCTTGTTGAATCAGCGGCGCCGGGTCTGGGGGAAGCGGGGGAAACTGAGAGGCTTGCTGAAGGTGCAGAACTGGGCAGCATTGCCGATTAAAGTGGCTCATGAACTGAGGCCAGGACGAAAACTTGTGTCTGCAGTGCCTGCAGGTCGGCAATCCGCCGTGCGCATGCAGCATGTGTTCATCCTTGCGAACACGAAGCGCTGCCTTCAAGGCCTTTTGGGTGTTTTTGTCCGGTTGGACATGCATCTTGGTGATGTGAAAGCGCAGCGCGGCCTCGTTGACAAAAACAGCCCCGCAGACAGTACACGGTTCAGATTGATGGGTGTCCCGCCTGTGCCTTAACTGCCTCTCATCCACCGGAGTCTCCGACGGAGCCTCCACAGTGGAGCGAAGGTGCTGCCACCAGGCACAGACCTCAGGAGGGTGGGTCTGGGCTGCAGGTTTGTGCTCAATGCCTCTTAACCTGTTAAGGAGAATACCATGGAAGCTTGTGAGAGGCTCTTCCAACTTGAATCGCTGGAGAAAGTCTGCATTGGAAAGTCCAGTAAAGTAGGAGTGGTTGCGAACCACCATGCGTGTTTGACGCAGCACAGTGGTGGTGAATTTGTCACGCCCTAGAGCAGTCAGCCCACAGCTGGGAAGCCCATATCGGAGAATGGAGAGGCACAGTGCTTTATATAGCTGTAGCCGCAAGTGCAGGCTGAGCGTTCTGTTGCAGAGTATGTGCTTGACTCTGTTAAAAGCAATCCAGGACTGTCTAGTTCTGTGCCGTAGGCTGTGCATCTCGAAATTTTTATAGGAGAGAACCATGCCAAGATAAACATGGGTGCTCACAACCGGGAGTGAGACAGCCTGTTTATAGTCATGAAGGGGCACACGAAAGCAACGACCTAGGGTGGGGTGCAGCCTAACTAGGGGTTTGAGCAGCTTGGGCACTTGTCCTCCCCACAAGCTGTACAGGATGACCGATTTACCCGGACTTAAAAACATCCCTTGCCTATTCAGGGTCTGGATGATTCCAGCAATTTGGTGTGGGATTTTCAGGAAGTCCTGTGGCGAGCTTATGCTCCATTGGAAGAGAAAGTCGTCTGCAAAGAGCGTCCGCTGCGAGTTTGGGGCGATGGATGCCATGCTCTTAAGGATTTTCAGGGAGTAAATGGTCCATACTAGTGGAGCCAGACCGCAGCCTTGCCTGATGCCCTGTCCCGCGAAAATAGAGCCTTGCGAGTGCGAGGTGCGAAAGACATACGTGGCTCGTTCGTGCAAGTACATTATGAGGTGTACAAGCGAGCGAGGAACACCAGCGTCTTGCAGACTGGTTTCTAGTGAACTCCAGGGGATGCTATCGAAAGCTCTCTGAAGATCAAGTGAGAAGGTTATGCCCCCTTCACACTGCCTTGTTATTTTGCCTTCGTAGCGATCCCTCGTGGTAATGTAGCCTGTCTGTCGCTTAAGTCGCACCGAGTGGCAATGGGAGAAAGCGCGATCGAGAGCGTCGAGCGTTTGCCTCTGTGGGAGGTAGGCATATTGCGGAAGTTTGGAGGCAGCTTCCTGCGCAAAAGGACGAATGCGGGAGGCGAGAAGTTTCGCCAGGACTTTTGCCATCGGCGGCAGTAGGGAAATGGGTCTAAGCGAACCCGGGCAGTTTAGGGGCTTAGAGGGTTTAGGGATGAGTGCCACCTGGATTCTATGCCATGTGTCTGGTAGATAAAGGCGCTCAGACTTAAACGCTTGATGCAGACATTCGTGAAAGACACTAGCAGCTAAGGGGGCGGCTGCTTGCCAGAGCGGAGCTGGAGGATAATGTGATGGGAGAGCCTTCCGTGGGAGATGCAGAAAAGCATTAGTTATCTCTGTGATGGAAAAGGTGATCGGAGACAAAACAGCTCTAGGTGATGGTTGGGTTGTCGGCGAGTCGTAGACAACGCGGAAATGCGAGAGGATCTGAGCTAGCTCAGCTGACGGCGATTGAATGTCGCCGCTGGAGGTCCGAAGTTGGATGCGTTTGGGCCGGGTTTTAGGCGCAAATCTCTTCAGGATGTTATGTAAGGCCGTCAGGCAGTGCTTGCCAGCCTGTGCGTCAGCAATGAGAGCTTCAAGGTGTTTCTTCTTCCTGGCGCGGCAATGTTTGCGAAGAGCCCTCGCTTGGCAGTCGTGTTGGGTGCTGAGCTTCCACCAACGTAGGATTGCGCCCAGATAACGCGAGGTGCTGGTTCTCAGCCAGGATGAGACGCGTGCCGGTAGGTAAGCTTGAACCGGTGTGAGTGCCGAGGCTACACAGTGAAGTAAGGCAGTAGAGAGGAGCTGGGTACGATTCTGATGCACTTGATCTCTCAGAGCCCAGAGAGACCTGACTGTGACCAAAGTTGTACGCTGAAGCTCTTCCTTGACTTGTTCCGCCTTGGTGCGGGTAGCAGGGGGTGGATTCTCTCTACAGGCGAGTGCCCAGGAGTCGTACATGGACTTGATGAGGTCCTCCTCGTCCTGGACCTGAGTAGGGAGATTGGCTATGAAGCTCTGTTGCGTATCCGGAGAGGCGCGAAGCTGAGCTTTGACACTGGCCAGCGTTAGACTCTGGGAGGCAGCCTGGTGAGCAGTGGGGTTTGCAGGCAAAGGAAATGTAAGATGCACGGGGCAGTGATACATGCCAGTTTTGGGCAGTATGGGGACTGCCTGGAGTGATTTGGCCTGGAGGGCTTGCGGCGTGGTGAGTCTGGCCCTAACAATGGCAAAGTCAATCTGTGTCACGGAGCCAGAATGGTGCTGGAAGGTGCCGGCCTTGCGACCATGGCGCCCCCAGGTGTTGAGAGCTGTCAGCGCATAGTCGGTAAGGATGTCCTGGAAGAGGTATTGGTCGTCAGGATAGCCCGAGCGGGGAATTGAGATACCTCGACCGACATGTGTGGAATGCGTCTTGAGGCCGCAGTTGAAGTCACCTATGAGCAACAAGGCGTTCCTAGCCGGGATAGATTGAACCCAGCTGCGTATTTTCTGCCAGACATCAAGCCGCTCATCAAGCAGGGCCTTGCGGCGTTGCGGTTGAGATCCAGGGCCTCTCGCAAGATTCCAGGCGTACTGGTATGTACCGAGGATATCTATGGCTGGCGCAGAACCTTGATATATGCGAAGATGTACGAGGCGACCTGGCAGAATTTCTTTATACCGTATTTGGTGCGGTGCGCATAGATCCTCATGAACTAGTAGCAGGATGCCTGCAGCCTTGGTGCTGAAGCCGGAGTGCACAGCATTCCAGCCTTGCATGTGAAACTCGCTGGTGTCTGACCAGTGGGTTTCAGTGATGCACACGATGCGGTATCGAGACGGGCTGTCTTCTGCGTTCAGCCACGCAAGTAATTCAGCCAACTTGGACTGAGAGAGCCCACTACTGTTCCAGGTGAGTACATCAACATGTGGCTTAGGATAGGGGGGAGGTGAGGTGCAGCTGGCGGACTTGGGGGCAGGCTTAGGGGAATGAGATCCTAGTTGCTTAGCAGTCAAGACCCGACCGTGATAGGTGGTTCTGCCAAAACGGTTTGCTCGCTTCTGTGCCCGCAACAAGGATTGTTTGACATGCGCTGCTCCGTTGGGCTCGGGTAATGTTGGGAAAGTGACGGGGGCAGTGGCACACAGTTGAAAGCACGCAAGGAGAGAGAGCAGTCGAAGCGCGGGTTTGGGAGTTAAGGGGGGAGCAGCTAAGGAGGAAGCGCGATGAGGTGTGAGGCAACTGGGTGTTCTGGAGTGGGCAGGTTTAGGGTGAGAGCGTGGGGAAGGGCAAGCGCGGGAGTGGGTGAAGTCGCGCCAATCAAATGAGGAGGCCGCGAGAACAACTCGTCGTAGAGGCAAGCGCAGTTTGATAGACCTGACAATCGAGAGGAAGGAGGGTATCATGCGCTGAGAGCACATACTTAGTTTGATGCGTCTGGGAGAGAGACGACGGGAGGGGCGACGAGATGGAGGATATTGAATCGCCATCTCCTTGCCAGGGAGTATCGGATTGTGCGCCAGCTGTAGAAGGAGGCAGCAACGGTGTTGGTGGAACAGTGCACTGTGAGAGGATGCAATCTATCAAACAGAGAGCCGAATACAGAGGTTGGCCTCCAAGGAAACCACCGCAGATGTGGGATACGGCCGATAAGCTTCGTTCCTGGGCGAAGCCGGAAGAGCACTGAGCGATTGTGAACTTCGGAAGGATGCTGGCCTGCAGAGCCTTCCACCCTCACCCCACGCGACCACACGACGTCTACCCCGACCTTCAGTGGAGGACTGCAGTACAGTGTGCGAGACTTG